ACATGTATATGTGGTCTTGTTTAGTCAAAGACAATTTGCTCCATTTACACAAAATTATACATTGTGTTGCCAACAATCTGAATACAACAGTCAATGATAATTGATACCTAATATACCAATCTCACAAATAGCACATAACTGTTAATAGGAAAATTGCTAGATAACAAAACGCGCCATGAATTTTAGTCTTCAATCTACAATTCTATACAATACTACAAAACAAGTAATATCCTACTAACATACAATACTAAAACTCTGCATAACTACAAAAATATTTTCCAAGGTTAAGAATTATGATACGTTTGGTGCAAAACAGTTGGTGCAAATCAAGACCACCACTACATTGCACAACACACATGGTGCAAAACATGTGTGAAAAAAGGAATAAATGAATGAATGAAATATGTGGAAATTGAATTAAGGATGGTAGAATGAAGGAAACATAATTAATGATTAAGGGGGGGGGGCGAAAATAGCTAAATGAACTTGTTAGCGGGTTGGTTTGTAAGTTTAGGATTAGCTTTCCTACATGTAGTTTCTTGGGTCATTAAAAACTAATTCTAACTTGTAGATGCAATAGTCTTCACTACAACTTTATATATTATTTCTACACATTAGATAGCTACCAAATGTAGTTCATTTTTACCTTTTAGTATTTGAGAAGTGGACTCTACAATGTTGGTGACTCTAAAATCTAAGTTTTGATACTAACTGGTCATGAGTTTTAAGTTGAATACTAGTAGTTGCTAGATTGTATAATGTTTGGGATGGTATAAACTACTAGTAGCATCTACAGAATAATGTTTGGTATTTATAAATCTGTATGAAATTTGCAACAAAAATTGTGTATTGTACAAGTTGGTGTCATCGGTAGTACGTAAAATGTTTCCTTTCACCGTAAAGGAAAATAGAAAAGATGGAGGAATTAATACGTACAGGCTCTACCCAAAAAGAGGTTCTCACCAGGATTTTTTCACAGCATAGGGGTCAGGTATACAGAAGGACAACTTTTGCGACGCAAGTGACGCATTGAGCCGAAAAAATTTGAAACTAAAAACCCCGAGACACTATTTCTCGCTTATTGAGGGACAGATTTTATGAAGGTTTTTGAAGGTCATTCTAAAGTTATATTTTCATTTTTTGCAAGATTTATTGAGGCTCTCCCCCCAAAAAACCACTATGCCGATTGAAAGACAGCATAGGGGGTCCAAATCACAGCATAGGGGGTCCAAATCACAGCATAGGGGGTCCAAATCACAGCATAGGGGGTCCAAATCACAGCATAGGGGGTCCAAATCACAGCATAGGGGGTCCAAATCACAGCATAGGGGGCCCCTATATGCTCAAAAGGCCTGGCGAGAACACTGAGGGAAGAACTGCACACATGTACCTCGGATACCCGGTCGCTAAGTCGTCTAGGCGGGCATGCAGACACGTCCTTATAACCCAGGAGTTCAGGTTTGGGTTTGGGTTTGGGCAGCGTTGGCGGCGCCACTTTCGTAGGCGAGTCTTTGGACTACAGAATAACGTCACAGTCTTTAACTTTCCATACAAACATGCAGATAGAAAAACTTACCCTTGCAAACAGGCAAAAGCTGAAGCAAGTCGCTGAGGGCTAATTAACTTGATTATAGAGCTATTAATTCTCTCTCTAAATGTTTCTGATTAAAGGCAATGCATCTTTTTTGCCATTTTAAGTTTGCTTCTTTTTGCTGCACAAAGAAGTAGCCGTTTGGCTTCCAATTCTTTCTTGGTTACAGGGTTAGGCAGCAGGGAGAAGGGTTCAATTTTATTGTACAAATTGCTGTTAAATTATAAGGATGTCCCAATTTATGTACATGTATTCTCAGCATTCAGTATATACAATTATTGATATAAAATAATTCAGTCAATTACTCTATCAAAAGATAATTTTGCCGGCGCTTATTTGAACCTGTTTGATACAAAATGTGATCATGTTCTTTTAGTTGCAGTTACTGTCACCTTTTGGTAGCATTAGCAACAAATTTCACTATTGAAAGCTTAACATTTGAGCTCTTTATTTCCTCTAATTTAGTTGTAATTTCATATTAGAAAATGTATCACAATCTATTGAAGACTGCCTTGTTTATTGTTAAGTTAATATATGGGTTGCATTAGATCAAGCAAGCAAGCCGAAGTCCCACTAACTGAAACAAGGCTCAAGCAAGTCAAGGGAAAAGGTAGAACTGAATTGCTGAACAATTCGGCAGTTATTTTGCAGGCAGAAGACTGAATTTTGTGATTGAAGCAGGATGGAAACATTCTGTTGATATTAAAAGCAAGATTTGAAGCAGAAAGCAGGGAACATACAAGTATGAAAAAATATGCATCATGCTTATTATAAACATACATGTACATAGAAGCAGAAAAGCCAGTGAACAATAGAATGACAATTATGATAATACAACAAACACTGTAAACTGTACAATGTATACCAAACATACATGTACAACGTACAACTTGGAAGTCAAACGGATCATCAAAATGTAAAATTCACATAGAATTATTACCTTAACTGATTAGGTTTATTCAATGATAAAAAGATTGGTCTACAAAATGTATAAACATCTTCATGTGAAATTTTCTAATATTTTGTTCATGTTGACTCTATATATTACCTGTTGGACAGCATCTGACTTGGGTTGTTCAACATGGTGTATTCTCTGTTGAAAAGAAGGTTAAACAAAATGTAAATTCAGTACTACTAATTGTATACACAAAGTGGAGGCCCTTTCTCAGGGAATCCATGTACTGTAAGATTTTGTTGATGTGGCAAGGACACGTTTTTATGAACTTAGAGTTAGCAAATTGCGTAACTCCACCACATGTCTTTCCCATAACATAATATCAACATAGTAATCATAAGTTTTAATTTAATGCATATAGTATTTTGAATTAATTCCTCAAGCTAACTGACATCTCACACACGCAGTCGTCCCTCAGTAAGACATCTGGAGCCACATAGTTCCTGTTTAGAACTTTTATTCAGCCTGTCACAAGTTTCAGTTTAAAGAGATTCAAAACGAACTACTTGTCATGAGTGGTCGTTTCATCAGAAACTGCTTAAACACGTAAATCTCAAAATTGTATCAAACAGTAAGACACTCACCGGTGCCATTTGATGAACCAGGGTACTCCTACTCAACACATCCTTCGCTTCCTCATCTTGCTTCTAAGTCAGGGAAAATGGATATCTTGATAAATACCTAAAAACCTATTGTCTAATTATTTAACGATTCCAAAGCAAAGTTTGGCACAGGAATGCCATAAGATTATATCACAACATATAACTTGACAGTACTGAGACAATGGCATTTTCTTCAAGTTTGACTAGTTGTGATTATATAATGTGGGTTGACAGCACGTATGGAATGGTTCTTACTTTTCTGTCTTCTCTGGCCCTCTCTTCTTCTTCTCTTTTCCTCTGCAACTCTGCTAACCTTCTGGCCTCCTGGAGGAAGACAATATTGTACTAAAGATCAGACACATTTAGTTATTGTCATGTACATGACTGTATCATAAATCAAATGTACATTCCCCCCCCCCATGATCTTCAGCCAGTTTTACGTGTACTTATCTACATATGGTAAATGTACAATGTAGAACAAAACTAAGCCTTTTTTCTTACCATTTCAGCCTCCTCCTCTATTCTCCTGGTCTGTTCTTCTCTTTCTCTTCTTAATCGCTCCTAAAAACAGACGATACATCTTAACATTTTAGGCATAGTATCATACATTTTTGCTTATTGTTCCTCTATTCCTAGACCTGTCCATAAAAAAAAAAAATGATTGATTCAGGAAGAAAGGTCTCGTATTCATGCAAGGGCAAAGAACTCTTTTCTTGTACTGTCTTAAGATATTCCCAGTTATAACTTTTCAAGGAAGAAAATCTTTGATGTACTCAAAGATGATATATCCTCACATGTTTTTCTTTGGTTGCATATCCAACTGAAGAAATCTCAGTGTAGAATATAGAGGAGACCAGAGTTTTCATACAGAAAATACACAAATTGAAAGAAAACTGGATAAGTCTACTGAGCACTACACACATACGGACAAACTTACCGGTGAAACCTCCGCAGGCTGAAGTGGCCAGGAGAAAGAAAAGGTTCAAAGGTGAGAAACAAGGGATAGGCTAGGTCTGTATAGCAGTTGTACTGGAATCAGTAAAAGGGTTGAAAAATACATGCAGCTACATGTAATAGTTAAAGACTGTCTCCATGCTAGAAAAATGCACCCCAGAATTACAGAAAGAATATTATGTTTTCTAGTCGTAGTAAGAATAACATTGTGTATAACATGCAACTACATAATATTAATTTCAAAATCTACTATTAACAGTATTTCAAGTCATGCCAATCTACAAGCAACTAACATTGTCATAGGTAGAATGTAGCAGCAAGTATGAGAAAAATGTGGAAAAGCCAACAAAAACCAAGAAATAGGTTGTCGGCACATGGGGCAGTTTTCGTCAAGTATGTTGTGCATTATTGTCAAGCAAAACTACTGTAAATTGTGAAATTTACACGGTGGTTTTATTTTTGCAGTTTTTACAGTGTCCTATCCACTGCAACTTTATGACTTTTAATTTAAATTAAAAATATTTTTCCGTCAGCCCTGTATAGGGGGAGAGTGCTCACAATCTAGGGGGATCTGGGGACAAATTTTCAAGCCTTTAAAAATGTAATTTCCCACATTTTGAGAGGCAAATCATGGGGTTTAGAGTGGTTGTTGGTGGTCCTTTGGATGATATTTTTACCCAAAACTTTTGCCAATTTTGTTTATCAAGGTTGATGGATTGGTTTAACTCACTGTATTTTTCCGTCACATGCCACAAAGTTTCTGCAATTGGTGCTGGCCAGAGCCCTGCTTCCTTGTATGACTACTGTACTACACATAGTGAAAACCTCCCTGTCAATTCTTAACTTGAAATAAAACCACCAAAGAAGTTTCATGTTTTACAGTATACTAGTCCCAACCAGACTCCTTTGCAGGCTGAATAAATAGTAGAAATTGGCCTAAAAGGAATGTAACTGGCCAAGGAGAGTTACATGTAGCGGGCCGATTTCTACTAGTATTCATTCAGCCTGCAAAGGAGTCTTTTGGAGACTACAGACAACCTAAGAGTGGAGACTTACCGTGGGAGTTGACCCAGTCTTAGCAGGGGCAGGGGGAGAGGAGAAAGTAGATAAGAAGTCGATAAGAGAGGACAGCTTTAAGAAAGAACGAAGTCATAGCAAGAAAGAACAAAGAAATACAGAAAACAACAAAATCCCATTTACAACATTGTTTCAATCAATCCTTTCCTTTCAGAATTTTGAGGCTTACACTAAATCTAAAAGCAGATTGGACATGCTGTTTACATCTATTGTGTACATTGTCGCTAAGATTCATATTCTACAATTGCATTTTTCTTTCACGATTCATAAACATTGAACCTATCCATGTGCCCGTACATGTCTAAAGTTCTTTTATATCAAGAATTGCATATTGATACTGTCTTTTTAATACTTTAAGTAGAACTAGTATAAAGTAGGTAAATAATTTCTTAGTACCAGTACTACAAGTTTGCACTCAATGCCTACATGAAAATACATCATGTATAGCATCCGACTTCAATTCTTTTCTAATTCAGATATCAACAATTCTAGATTAACTCTTAATCTGCAGATTTGTTTTTGTTTCTACTATGTTTACAATAATTTTGTTTTTACCTTGCAAGCGAAACTACATTGTCTTAGTTAGAGTTAGAAGTATAACATGTACTATAGCACACATACCATTGTTTCTACCTCCTCTTTCTCCCATGCCTGAGATTCTCTCACCATTTCTTCTTCCTGGGGATGACAAGAAAACATATTCTTAGAATGTGCTGTTTTTGGTTAAATTAAATGTTGTTGACTACTATTTATATATTAGAGAGTAATTTGAATTTGTGTACATGTAGGTATCTAATTTTGTAGTACATTTGTAGAAGGGGAATGAGAATGTACATTTTTATTTGGGTTCAAAGATCACTAATATAGAATAGGCCAATGTTTCAATGACCATCTGTAATCTTTATCTGTAATATTTATGTTCTGGTGATCACAGATGGTCATAAAAAAGTGGTATCTTGTTAAACAAGTGGTTGTGAATAAAGAACTTTGCTATTGAATCATTTACCAACTTGTTGAAATAGTTTGAGAACCATGATTATAGATAGTATTGTAATGCAAAATAGATTAACAAAGCACAAATGTGAGGAATTCAAGATGAGAGCTCATCACAAAAACTGAACTTTCACGATTTTTAAGGTAAGCAGCATTTTTCTGTCAATTACACTGACCTGTCTCACGATGCTCATTTCGTCTGACGACAAGTCTCGGTCGATGGAGGATATAGAGTCCTGGCTCCCGCGCCGAATCCCGTCTCCGATCAACATGGGGTTAGCGATGATGGACGTGGGAGACATGGCCTTAACGGCCTCCTCGTCGTAACCGTAACACACCAGGACCTGTAGTCTGTCCCCGACGGCGCGTAACGCTCGTACCGCCTCCACGTGTGTACAGCCCAGCAGGCTCTGGTTGTTTACCTGTGGGTGGGGAAACAACAATGATACAGGCATCCATCTTAGGCCACACCAATTTAATTTCTTGGTTAAAGGATTTTTCGAGAAAAATAATGGACCAGGCGGGTGAAAAAAAATAAAAACAGGCCTAGGCATCCTATTATGGCCCAAAATGGTACGATAGGGCTATTAGGAGCCATGAAGTCAACACACCAGGCTGGTTCAAAATTTAAACAATGAATTTTGAACTTTTAATGATACCACTGCATTGAAAGATGAAATAATTGTAACAACTAGGAAGAAAAGGACAAAATATGAGCATTTTGCAGTTGATACTGAATTTTTTTTTTTTTGCAAATCAGAAAAAAATGAAGCGGGCGAATCCGTTAACCAAGAAATTAAATTGGCCTAAGAGACTTTTGTCAAACATTCTACTGGGTTTGAAATACTTAGTGCATGTCCACCTTGGTGAACCAAAATTTCCAGCTTTTTATGTATGTAAGGGTATCAAATATGGTTCAAGCACAGAAGAAGAGCGGTGAGGTTTGTAATTGAGTTTTGCTGACATTCTACTTTATTTCATATGGTGCAAAAAATTGTACAAATCGTCTCACCTCCAATATTCTCATGCCAACCTTTAACCTGCCATCTCTTGCAGCAGCACCGACCTGGCTCACCTACAAAACAAAGATACACCAAGGTTAGCGGCTTAGCGCCCTCTAGCACAACAGGAAGAAACTGCATTGCAAAATCACAGGCACAGCTCAATCAATACTTCACTTCTTTGGGGGTAAAGTACAATGTGACAATCTTTCACAGAGTTGTAGAGGAGAACCTTTTCCCAGGGCACGAATTTCTACCTGGCAATCGTCTAGCTTAATCCAGTTTTGTTGTCATTGCATGCAGGTTCATTTATTTGTTTTAGCCTTTGGAAAAGAATGTGATAAATCACTCACATACTACAAGACATACGTTTTTACAATGTTACAGTTTTTTTTATTGAACTGAAATATCTTTCAGATTATGATTCAAGTTTTTCAGTGATGGCAAAGCTTTTGATATCACCAAACACACTGAAGTCACCAAAGAGAAGACATTGCATACAGAAGACAGATGTTAACTAGAGAAGTAACATTTGCATAGCAAATGCATGATGTTTACCTTCGGACATGGTCTGCTCTGTTAATTCTTACTCAAACACATTCACATACATGTACTACTAGTATATGGTGACAGGAGAAGAGCAGACCATGAAATTGCAACATTATGTAACCCAACACCAGTCACCATGGTGACAGATGTCAACAAATCATGTCATTGGTAAGGTCAGAGGTCACTGTTTGGAGAAGAAGAAGAGGAAGAAACAGCACAAAAACAATATGTTTTCCTTCGGTAAACATAATTACAAGTACAGTATGGAACCGGTCTGGCGTACCAGTACACAGCACTAGTTGATATCCAGTTATGTTTATTATCACTGGTCTATCATAATTGTAATTGCAACCTAAGAACACTAACCTTGGAAATGAAGATTCCCTCGTCTGATTTGTCTAGGGGGTTCCCCGGATGACCTCTGACCCCTCCTCTGATGCTGATGCCCAACTTCTCCCCAGGAGCCTTGATCAAGTTGATTTCCTTCAAGAAAACAAAGAAAACATTAAAATCTTCCATTTTTTAAGACATATCAAATTTCACATGTTGACAACATACAACTACATATTGAACTTGACAGAAAAACATTCAAGTTACAAAGCAAAGCATAAACAACTGAGCAATGTCATAAGCATTTTTGCCGATTATAAAGCTAGAAAAAATTTCCATTGTTGACAACTGAACATAAACTGTCCACCTAAATGTATTTTAAAATGTACTGAAAAATATCCAAGTTACAAAGCAAAGCATATTAAAGAAGTTTATGCATAGATAATAGTCAGCTAGAACATAAAAATATGGCTCTATTTGACAGTTCTTTCCAACTGCAGTTCACCTGTAGTTCTCTAGGTGGCGGGTCATGTCTGACGACCATGTTGATCTGATGTGTGTTGGACAGCAGGGCCTGGACAGCCTCCTGGTGTGTGGCGTGCCTCAGGTCCATTCCATTCACCTAATTGGGGGGGACAGCTCTGGTCAGGCACTTACTACATTTTGTACATGTGCAAGCTTAGCAAATGGGATAGTCCAGTTCTTAATGCAATTATGAAAGCCTTTAGTTAGTGTTTACGTTAGACAATTGCAAACATAGATTAAACATATATTCTACTTGACAACATGTGTTTTCAGTGTTGGGCATTGAAAGTGTATGCATGGCATGTCTGTCAAAGTAGAAGCACTACTTGTCCACCGTTCGAATTCAGAATGTTTAATACATTAAGATATGTAGTCTCTTTTGTTGTTTTAAACAGAAATTCAGAACTTATGCAAGATTATGATACAAGTTTTTCAGTGATGGCAAAGCCTTTGATATCACCAAACACACTGAAGTCACCAAAGAGAAGACATTGCATACATGAGGTTTTGGGGATTGATTTGCATATCACTGGCGGACACGTATCCAGATAGCTCCGGCATTTAGACCTCCAAAGTTGTGTTTCTGAGACCTTTTTGATGCCACAACTTGTGGTTTATATTGTCTGATCAGTTGGAGAGCCTCGGAGCGAGATCTGGCTCTACCTTCCCGGTTCTATCCTGGAATTTTGGGGGATTCTTAGAGCGACGTCGGCAGCACAGCTCCCCTCCCCACACCTGGACAATGCCGACCTGTGAAGATTGCCATGCCCCGGGAGCACAGCTCGGCCAGGGTGACCGGAACCTGTGCAAACGCTGCTCCGACAAGCGATCTCCACCGGTAGATTCGCCGCAGGGTCAGGGTGAGCCTAACAAAATCTTTATTAACGACCTGTTATGCTTCGTCGTCAATAAGATGGACAAGATGCCCGGCGATATTGTCACGAAGCTGTGCTTGGAGACCTACTCTGAGGAGGAGATCGAAGACGCCAAGAAACTGACATTTGACACTTGCAAGCCCAGCGAGCGGTTTAGGAAACGCCAAGGCACCAACAAGTCCGTCACAAATATGTCGGACATCCTGCGGGTTCTGCATTCCGCCGACCCGCTGACGCTTCCTACCTTTGCGTCCGCATCACTCCGGCTTCCTGTCGTAGAGCTGGAACACACGGACTTCAGCTTGTGCTTCCAGGAGATTCAGGTGATACGACAGGAAATGAAAGTCATTCGGGCCACTACCGTTGACAATGTGAAAGTGCAGGCTGAAATTGCAGCCCTTCGTAGAGAAATCGCCGAGTTGAAAGACGTGAGGGCGTCAGCACCGCAAACTGCGCCGGCGCCTCGCCATACTACCTTTGCCGACGTGGTGTCTGAGAACCACCCCCAGTCGATCGTGCATCCCCCGGCAGCGAGGCGAGCCTCAGGTCCCACTCAAGTACACGTCCTACGTCAGGGTGCCGCTACCAAACCCAAGTCCCTTGCCCCGATGGACCCTGCCCAGGCTTCCCGTTCATCGCCCCTCTCCCCCCGAGGCCACAGCTCGGGTGTTCCCACAGCCCCCGACGAGGATGGGTTCAACATGGTCAAAAGGAAAAAGAACAAATCCAGAGCAGTGGTTGGCACTGCTAAGTCTTCCACACTGTCTGCGATCAAGGCCAGACCAGTCGAGATTTTTGTCACGCGTCTGGGCCCTGACACCAAGTCGGAAGACGTCGAACGGTACCTGCACGACAACTTGTCGCATGACCGGACGCTCTCCTGTACGAACCTTCCAACTAAGTTTGACTCCTACTCTTCTTTCCGGGTGTCAATTGAGAGCGAAGCCGTAGCTGAAATCCTGTCCCCGTCCTTCTGGCCGTGCGGCGTGCTCGTCAGGCGGTACCACGGTAGACGTGCCTCCTCCAACCCGCAACCAAGACCATGAAGACTGGCTTAGACACTTTAAATGTGACATCCTTTAACTGTCGTTCCGTTAAGAACTCTGTCCAAGCTGTCAAGGACTTGTGCCAGATTTCTGACATTATCCTTTTACAGGAGCACTGGCTTCTGCCGAACGATTTAAACTTTCTCTCTAGTCTTGATAAGGACTTCTTAACGTATGGCACCTCGGCTGTAGACTTGGGTAAAGGCATATTACATGGTCGCCCCTATGGTGGCGTCGCGGTCCTTTGGCGGAAGTCTCTTGGGGTAACCGTGAGTATCGTGAGTGACGATGATGATCGAATCTTAGCCTTACGAATCAATAATGATGCGAGCTTTGAACTTCTTTTGTTTTGTGTGTATTTACCAGTAGAATCTACTTGTAACATGGATATTTTCATTGACAAATTAGGTAAAATCGAGTCTATAATACAGCAGACCAATGTGACTAATGTCTGTATTATGGGAGACTTTAATACGCGCCCAGACGGTATATTCTCCCCACTGTTGTACAATTTTTGTCATGATAATAACTTCCATGTAAGCGACATCGACCTTCTCCCTGAGGATACTTTTACGTACCTTAGCGAAGCTCACGGGTCGACGTCGTGGCTTGATCATTGCGTCTGCTCCGATACCATGTCTGCGAGTATCTCAGAAATGTGTGTTCTGTATGATTTTGTCTCATCCGATCATTTTCCTCTCTGGGTTTCATTTGACCGGACATCGGTCCCTGTGTTTACAAACACAGCTGGTGACGGAATTCCACCGCCAAAGAGATTTAACTGGGAACGTGCATCCCCCTCTGACCTGGCACGGTATCAAATTTGTGCCGATGCCCTCTTATCTGAAATCCAATTGCCAAACAATGCTCTTTTGTGTCAAAATCCTAATTGTAAGAACAATGACCACAGAACTTCTCTTGATAACTTTACCTCTGCTATAGTCGGAGCTCTCAAAAGTGCAGCTACGACATCCCTCCCCACAGGAAAATGTGGCACCTCCCACGCGATACCTGGTTGGAATTCCGTCGTCAAAGAGTACCATTCTGCTGCTCGAGATGCATTTTCTATGTGGCGAGAATTCAATCGACCGAGGCATGGGGCCATTTGGAACCTTATGAGATCAACTCGGGCAAAATTTAAACTTGCTTCAAGAGAGTGTCGACGCGCGGAGGCCCTACACAGGGCAGATGCGCTCGCCTCTGGTTTGCAAGTAAAGGGGGTCAAGTAGGCTTCTGGTCTACGCTACGGTCTCAAAATGGCACCAAGCCTAACCTCCCCTGTAACATTGACGGCCACACTGGTACGGCTGATATCACTAGCATGTGGAGGCGTCACTACGACTCTCTGTTGAACTCTGTTGCTCCCAACGATTGTAAACAATCCGTAGATGACATAATTCACTCAGATATCAGCTATGACCCGGGAATGTCGGCACCCGCACCTGAGGTATTCGCAGCAATCAACAGGCTCCAGAACGGGAAGGCCTGTGATTCTGACGGTCTTTCAGCTGAGCATCTGAAGCATGCGGGACCTCGGCTTACGATCCTGCTCTCGCTTTGTTTCTGCTATGTTAGTGCACGGCCATGTCCCCCCCGATCTTGTTAAGAGTAATTCTCATTCCGATAATCAAGAAACAAAACCTGAATCCTTCACTTAAGAATAATTATCGCCCCATTGCAATCTCCAGCCCCATTTTCAAATTATTTGAATCCCTTCTCCTCAGTCGCCTGGAGAAGCACTTATTATCTCCGGCGAATCAATTTGGTTTTAAAAACACCATGGGACAGACATGTGTATTTTCGCACTCAAAGAGATAATCTCTTACTTCAAAAGCCGAGGTTCTTCTGTATTTGTTTGCTTTCTTGACGCCTCTAAGGCATTTGACCGAGTTAATCATTTTACTCTGTATAAGAAATTACTTGATAGAAATGTACCCGTCTATTTAGTACGTATTATAGTTTACTGGTTTCAAATGTTATCCCTCAGGGTGCGTTGGGGATCTTCCGTTTCGGATAGCTTTTGCTTCGGCAACGGTGTTCCCCAGGGGAGTCTACTTTCCCCTCTTCTATTTAATGCATACGTTACGAGCCTTACTGTTAAGTTAAACGCTGCCAATGTGGGTTGCTTTATTGGCAGAGTCCCTGTAAATCACCTTTTGTATGCCGACGACTTTTGTCTGATATGTCCCTCGGCGAAAGCGCTACAGAAACTTATTCATGTATGTGAGACTTTTGGTGCCGAAAATGATATGACCTTCTGTGACAGGAAGACGAACTGTATGTTTTTCCCCTGTCACCGAAGCCGCTTGCCTACATGTAGTACGCCACCATCTGTGAAACTGTACGGCACACCACTGCCCTATGTGCTTTCGGTCACTTACCTTGGCTACCAAATTACACCGGACCTTTCCGACGACGATTCCATCCGTAATCAAACCCGCCACGTTGTACACAAAAGCGAACTCTTTAATCCGAACTTTCGGCAACTGTTCCGCTGAAGTTAAGCGTATACTCTTTGTAGCACATTGTTCCCCCATGTACTGCGTACAACTATGGAACAATCATAGCGCAGGCGTGTTGCAGAGGCTGCGGGTTGCTTACCACGATGCTTTCAAAATCATTATGTCTCAGCCTCGCTCCACCAGCAACAGCCTGTTCTTTGCCCAGTTGGGTGTCGACACATTCGACGCCAGGAGGCGAAAGCTGACGCACTCTTTTGCGGCTCGCCTCCTGGCGTCCGGTAACGGCATCATCAGTTTGCTCTTACGCTCTGATGCCTTCCCCAGAAGTCAGTTCTGGCGTAGGTACTGCCAGTTGGTATGCAGACCTTAAATAGGCCCCGTTTCTTTTATCCCAGACACCGTATTTTTAAATTTATGTATTTTGTGTTGTCTATTGTATATGGGCTTTGCCTGAGTCAAACAATAAATGATAAATGAAATGGATACAGAAGACGGTTATTAAAAAATGAAAGAAGTCTTCTGTTGCGGAAGAAACTTGTCCTTACCTGAAGAATCCTGTCTCCCACCTTCAAAGATGTCTTGTCAGCTGCACCACCTCCTACAATCTGTTCAAGAAAGTCTGAATTACTCAACTCATCCTTAACTACAACTTAATTATTTTACCTCATACAAGTTTTCCTACAGTTGCAAAATTTGAAATTTGAAAGTGGGAAATTTGTCAAAAAGGGAAAATTGAAAAAGCTGATGTTTTAATTTTTATTTGGGAGGTTTGTTATTGGGTCAGAATTATGTTACATCAGACAAACATGGAACAGATACTATAATTGTTAATGAAAAACATTAAAAAAACAAAATAAAACACTTTTAGTTCACTTCCCAATGCAACATTAAAATGGTCAGACTGGGTGAATATGTTATAGACTACACTGTACAGGTTTTCAGTTTGAGATTTAATATTTATCAAATTTTAGCAGTGCTGCTAACAAAATTAAAGCAGAAACCAGCAGCAACTAAAAAAAAAATCTTGTTATTCTCATTTACCCTAACCACCCCTATTTCGAGATAAAACAGCCCAGGCCACCAAAGCAGTAGCACCTAAGCCGTACCACTCAATCTCTGTGATAGGGGTGGTCAGGTTTGGTTTCAAACCGAAAAGAAGAAAAACTGCTGCGGCACGGCACACCACACAGCGCTAGACACTATGGCACACGGCAGGGGCACTCGGACGGAAAGTCTCATACCTTGAGGACACCTGGCTTTACCTTGGAGATAAAAATTCCAGGTTCGTCCATGCCGAAGGGATGGCTACAGTGGTCACTCCCACCCACGATACTCAGGCCCAGGGGCCCACCTTCTCTCACCAACGTCACCTCCTAAAACACAGGGAACAATTAGGTAATTCATTATGTTTCACAAACAATGGTTCTCACCTACATGTAGAACTTTCGACCAGACATTCTGGTCCTCTTCAGTAGACTGACCCAGTAAGACTTGTCACGTGGCTTCTATAAAGTGTGACATCAACACTGGGTCAAAGGTATCCAGTAAACCATGGTCGAAAGCTCTAGGTGAGAACCATTCTTTGTGTTGGAACAAAACATTTTTCCTTTAATGCTTTCTAGTGATGATGCCCCAACTGTACTTGGTGGAAACGAGTTCCACTCTACAATAGTTCTTGGAAAATGCGAGTTTTTGAACACCTCAATTCTTGGTTGATACATGTAACTCTGGTACTTGAAGGCATGGCTACTTCTTGTTATTTTCTGGGTTGGTACTAAGTGGTTGGTACGTCCACCAGTTAATTAGTCATTTTGTACATCATGGATAGTCTGGACATTTTACATCTGTCTTCCTGCAACATTCACTGTTTCTTTTCATGACAATTATTGAGGCCCAGACTCTTACCTCCACTGGGAAAGGAGAGTCCTTCATCTCTTCCTCCTCCTCCTCTGCATGGTTGACTATCGGTGATGGTGGTTCTGCCATGGGACTGGGGGACGCCAGGACTACAGACTCCTGCATCTCCGACACTATCCTTTCTACATTCTCGTATGTGGGGGGTGGGGAGGGCGACCGTGGGGGTGGGGTGGAGAGTATGACGGGGTGGGTTGGGGAGCGTGGTATGGGGGATGTGCGCGGGGAGGGTGGGGGGCGAGCCTTGGGGGTGGTGGATGCGGGGGGCTCCTGGTTGATAACGAGATGTTCCCTGTAAATGACCAGCTGAATGCGGTCGGAGGAGGTGAGCAGGGATACTGCCTGGTCATGCCGCGCTTCCGTCACGTCTACTCCGTTTATCTGCCAAACAGAGCCAACAGCCGCCGTCAGAAAACCTCTCTCACCTACACATGCCTCTACATGTATGTACATGTATGTACATCTGGCAGTACTTTCATCAGGTTGGTAATTCACTGGATAACAAACTTCTTTACAGACAACCAACTACATGACTGTGTATTCTACCTGAAGTATGAATTCATGTACATGTCGTTTTTACACAACAAAACAATGCATAACCTTATACTTTTTCTGATCTTCTCAGTTAGTCAAGACTTCTACTAGTACTACAAAGTTCTTAAGTTGCCTAATTTTTATGGGTTCACCACACCACGAAGTGGTGGTGAACCCATATTGCTTTTTCTGATGTTTCTTCTCCTCCTTCTCCTTCTCCTGCCATTTTTTAAATGGATTCAGCTTCTTCATTTTAGGGCCCAAGGTCTTGAAATTTGGTATGGAGGTACAGTGGGCAAATACCCCTAGGCGTTTTTAAATTATTGTGATACAGGCTTTTAGAATGGTTTTATTTAGTTTTGGCTGTGTTATAGCAAATGTATTTCTGTGTTAGTGTGCCTTGTTTACCATGTTTGGGCATGAGTCATCACAATGGAATGCAGGGCATCAACCAATAGGCATGCAGCTTTCCTCTATTCTTCTTGCTGATTGGCTGTTGGGATTTAACTTGATCAACACCTGCACAGAGCATTTCCACCTGCACAGAGCATTTCTTGCTGATTGGCTGTTGGGATTTAACTTGATTAACACCTGCACAGAGCATTTCCATACTGACAGTATGTCTGTATTCAAGTGTTTTGGTAGGTATTTCAAGCTTTCCTGCTCCAGCATTGGAATGCGGGGCATGGACGTTTTTTTTTATTTTGAAAATCAACAGTTTGCATTATGCAATTAAAAATCCTAACCAATAAAGTAGGGAATAGCTATCCAACTGTTTAGTTTTTCCCTTGTGTTTCTCATTCTTTCCCTGCCATGTCGTAAAATGTGGTGAACCCATCGCTGTATTTGCTCCAAAGCAAATATTGGCCTTTCTAGTTATCTAATCTATTTAAAGTACAATGAGTTCAAAATGAAATCTAACTGTAGACAGTAAAATGAAATTTCCATGTGAAGTACACGTTCTAAATGTATAACTCTAACTACATTTGCAATGTCACACTATAATTAACGGTCATGTATTTCACAAATTTCTTCTAAATGACAGGACATGTAAACTGTAAAGCCTCCTGTACATGTTCTGCTAATCCATAAAGTCCATCACATCATAATCCTTCTGATAGAATACATGTGCTTTATCATTATGACATATATATATTGCAAAGTTCCAGAAGTTAAAAAGGGCTGGCACAATATTTTGCTACATTGCAATATTACAAAGCAAAACAAAACTCCTTATTAACAGACAGCAGCAAGTTACAGAGCTCTTTTCAGACAATTATGAATCTAAATACTAGTATCAAAAAGATGAGAATAGCTCATGGCAGAGAAGTTGTTTATGTGGATTATACGATGGCGAGAAAGGGCGTGGCCAGTCAGTATCTCTGTTCACCTTAAAGACCCAGACATTAGAGTGGAAGAAAGTCATGATGATGAAGACATGTGGACAAACCAGTGTTTTAGCCAGACTGGAATTTTTTCTGTTATTTTGCTTGACATATTAAGGCCTAGCAAAAAAAAGTGTTGTGTTTCCTTTTTCAGTCCTGAATAAAATTAGGCTCGGTAGGTAGTGACTTTTTTTTGGAGATCTCTAGTGATCCAACTTATACAGTACAGTTTAACAAACTAGTAAAACTTGCATGAGGACGCTTTCTGTCAATGTTAGAAAACCGATTATACAACGCTTCATCACTCAGGTGTCAGATCATAGAGCTAAAAAAGGTTGATCAGCTTGAAACTTTATGTCCCTTACAGGGGTTCACACACACAAAAAAGGCTAGAGTCTGCATTAAGTTTCTAGGGTCTGTCGGGAAACAGGAAACACAACATTTTACCTACATTTAACATCATGTTGAGTGCCAAGGTTGTAACAATCCAATTTTGAAACACTATTTCCTGTATTTCGAGTGGCAAATTTTGCTGGTAGACTAAGCTTACTTTAATGACATCCCTTTCCCTATCTTTGTATCTTCATATTTTTATCAAAGATGACGGATTGGAAAAATTTTTTGTCCGTCATGAGCGGCAAAATTATGCGAAATGATGTAAAGACAGATGCTGGCGAGAACACTGGGACAAATGCAGTGACAAACAGATGACAACAGCATTTAGCACACAAGCTAATGTGCACAATGTATCATGTTATGGACTTGCAACAAAGCAAACCAAGAAAAAAAGAAATTAAAAGAAGATTAAATCTAAAAGAGCAACGAAGTTACTAGAATATTCAATGTTAAATTGAGGAATTATAAGTCAGAGGTAAATATATAGACCAGAGTTAGGTTAAAAGATATGTTAGGATTCGAAAGCATTAAAGGGACTTGAAATACTATAACACTTTTTGTATATTAAGATCTACAGTGTTAGCACACTTTAAACAACAGTAGAAAGTTAACGTAAGGCTTCTTGAGAGAGAGTACACACAGTTAAAGCTGCAACATCTGCTGCTAACTGTAAGTGAAGAGTTACCGAGATAATTTTGTCGCCGACATCGAGCTTCCCATCAGCCTCTGCTATCCCGTCCTCCGCTATCCTGGAGATGAACACACCCTACAAACAAACAAATAAACAAACAAACAAACATCAAGGACAGAATATGAATGAGAAATTTAAAAAAATCTTGGAAGTATGCAATCCTTGGTTTCTTGAATTCCCCTTTCACAAAGTAGAAATTTTAAAATGAAAACAATTTCTATTTTCACGAAGTAGGTATTCTAAAAAGAAAAGAATTTTCTACTTTCACAAAGTAGATATTTTAAAAAGAAAAGAATTTTCTACTTTTTCACAGTAGAAATTTTAACAAGAAATTTTGAAGGACATACTGTGTCATTGCCCTTAAATGGAGTGGAGCCCTTCCCTCCTGCTATGCTGAACCCCAGGCCTCGCTGATCTCTCACCAACGTTGTTGCTATAGTCTGAAAACAAACAAACAAACAAACATGGTCGTCACACCTACAACAAATATTACAAACATGGAGTTAGAATTTGTTTCCTAATTACAAAAGAACGCAATTTGCATGTAGTACTACATATTTCCAATCAAAACAGGACCATCATTATAATCAGTAATTGTCAGGGCTTTATCCAAATTCAAACCTGCCCTAAATGTACATGTATTTTGTGCAATTAAGTAACTTCAATACACAGTATTACACACATAAAAAAAACAGGAACAGTAGGTGACACAGATAGAGAAGACAAAATGGAAACATATTTTTGAGCATCTAGCTTGCATGATAAGCAGCAAAAGAGAGGAGTATTCTGTAACAGTAGTTATGAAGTCTACCCTTAAAGTCAGTGTTCTAGGCAGTGTTCGTTTTTCCATCATTGGACGAAATTTTGCCACATAATGGACAAAACCTTCTGCCCAATCCATCATCTTTAATGGATAAAAATGGTGCATTATGATATGGAAAGAGATATCATTAAACTAAACTTAGTTTACCAGTAAAACATGCCTCTTAAAATGTGGGAAATATTGTTTCAGAGAGTCAAGATTTTAAAATTTTCCCAGGGGAGCATGCCCCCAGACCCACCTAGGATTGGCGCGGATTGGCATTTGACATGATGTTACCAAAAACAGAATTCATGACGAACAAAAATTTTAGGCTGGCTAGAACACTGCTCCAAGTATGGGTTTATGCTGTATTTACATAATTGTGAATTGTAAATACAGCCGTTCTTACCAGTCCTTGCTCAGAAGAAGGCTGCATGAAGGAGCATGGAGATGTGAGGTTGTTACAGAGACAACAAGATGAGGTATGATCAGACAAGAGAAGGAAGAAACAACAACAGAGCAAGAGAAAGGTCCTCAATACTCAGGTCTTTCAAGTTAAGGTGGTCACATTTTTTCACTGTATACTTTTCCCAGGTCATAGGCTTTTCAAAGTGGCTGTGACAGAATCAGCCAATGAGATTAGGTTATAATCTACAGACAACTGTTCTATTAAAAGACTGAATTTTGGACAACAGATTTAGAACTCAAGAACATCCTTAGCTTGCTGTTGCAAACTGATTGTGACCAAGCTACATTGTTGTCTACAAGTACCAGAGTGTAAAATATAGTTTTAACCCCTCTCAAAGTCTGCTCCACATTTCAATAGAGAGATTTCAGATCAAGATTACATACAGAAAAGACTGGGATGAACAAAAGCTTTCTTTGATGGTTTTTTTTGGCCACATTCTTTGACTGAAATAGTTGAGCTTTTTGAAATCTTGTCATAAATTACATGTATGCGCCAACACTAAGAAATTGAATAATGTAATTTTATCACGAAGTGAGTTTTATGACAAAATATATGTTCTCCACATACCTCAGCATGAATCTCCACCTCAGGTTCGGGTGCGAATGTGACGCCGTGTTTCTTTGCCGAGGCCTGTTCATCTGTGAGCCCCTTCTCTGGGCTGCCGGGTGGGGTCTTGGCCTGGAAAAACAACAGCATTTTCTGTCAATAAACATTATACATCCAGGTAGAACATCGTATACTAAAAAATAAACAAACAACAGAAAAAAATCCTCTAAAGAGTCAGATGTTTCAAATAGTATCCGTAATTTTTCCTGCTATCTGAAATGTCCAACTCTTCAGTAGATTTGCTTGACTTTTTATTTTGCATTTGAACAAAGTCAAGACCACATAGGTCAGCACTTTTACAACACCTAATGATAGGGAAAGTCCTGTGTATACTTGTAGATTATCTGAATTTTTTTCATTAGTACATCAAATATTTCACATGCACTGTGGAGAAGAAAAATTAGTGACAGTAAATCAATGGAGAAATACATGCACCAGCTAACATGCACAATACTAAATTATGTTATCACGTAACTACATATGGTCCCACATGTACATGTAGCTAGTTAAGCAAATCATGCAATCCAAGATGGAGGAATCAGCCTTGTACATTCTGTAAGTGGTCACCTGTCAATCGACTAAGCAGAAATACTGCTGTGAGAAAAATAAGACGTAATCATTGATTTGGCTGTAGATGGAAAGAAAGGACAGAATCAACAACATGCACATGCATCATTTTGTTTCTGAGAGAGGCAAGCATGCATAATGATTGGGTTAGGAATTACATGTAAAGCCCTCTACATGCATGTATAATGATGCATTTGCATATATTAACATATATTATTAGAGGGGAGAATCATTTCACAATCAGTGAGTTGGACATGTTGATTGTAACTTTCATGCAAGTTCTTTTTGAAAGAACTGTTATTCCTGAAGTTACATGCACATGCGCCTCCTTACAATCTCAAGAGGGATTTCTTCGTCTTCTGGTTCAGCCTCTGAGGCAAAGGAGACGCCAACTTTCTTCATCGGCGAGGGTTCCTGCACCGTGATGTTGGGTGGGGTTGGGGGCCTTGCCTGAGGCGCGTTCTGGAAGTGAGAGCATTACTTCATGAAAAAAAAAGACTATCCTGGAATTACAGAAAAGATTGAAAGGAGCCCAAAGAATGGCAAACAGCTAGGATTGACTGTCAGGGACCGAGAAAAATGTCAGTATCCATCGCTCAGGAAAGAATAACCAGAAACTGGATCCATTGCAACACCCCATATCACCAGTCAGGAGATGCATGATGAGGTGTACAATCCATGTAAAGGTCATTGGGAAAAGAGGGAGGGGGGATTCAGACTACGGAACCTGAGGAATCTTCACATTTGCAAGAGTGCCATGGACAATACAGAATAGACCAGATATATATAAAGATCCAATGGCCAAAGTTGCTACAAACTTGGGGAAAAAAGATAAGTTGTGGCCACAAGAATGACAGGAAGATAACAACTATATTTTGGAATGTCCTTGGGGGCCTTGGCTGAGGGGAAGACAAAGACAGAACATGAATTAAACAACTAATAAATATTGTAAGGATAAACGAGGGAGAGGCTTTCCGAGAAATACAAATTTTCAACAATAAACAAGGCAGACTAGGGATACCAAATGTTGAGAGGAAAACAGGCTAAGCTAATTGTATGCTACCTGGTAGATTCCACAGAAAACCAGCCCAAATTCCCAAGAAAAGAAGGGTACAGGAACAGTCACTTGACAGGCTTGACAGTACTTTCAGAAATACACAAATTCTCACCAAAAACCTACACCTAACCCGGAAAAAACAGTGCCTAGTTTGAAATCCCCAGGAGAAGCTTCAGAATGTTAACAGCCCTCATTATTATATTGTACCATTTGAGTCACAGCGTCTATCGCGAATTCTGGATCACGCACGCGTGCTTGGGGACTTTCTGTGGGGCTTTCCGAGCTTGAAGAGTCGGACGTATCCTGAAATAACATTGATTGTCATGAAACATCCACAGCAAAATGCTAAATATAACACTTTCTAATGCCAATAAAACAGGACAGCACTTCATCCCAAAGTAGCCAAGAAAACCGAACCACCCCAGAAAAAGAAGCCATGGTTTAGAAGCCTTCACAGCAGGACAGAGAGACCAAGTAAAACTTCAACAGCAACTTAACCTTCTCCCTGCTGCCTAACACTGTAACCGACAGGGAATTGGTAGTCAAACAGCTACATTGTACCTCAGTGTGCTGAAGGTTAAAATAGTTCTTGCTGATACGAGGAAGAAGATATGCTTCAGCAGCAACACTCCAGAGTTAAGTTGAGGACCGAGAAAGCGACAGACCACTCCTAAAACCCCACAGTTGAACATACATGTAGTACCAAGAAGAAAACAACCATTGCAGGGATGAGGGAGGGGGGTGGGAAAGGACAACGTCGCTAAAACCATAATGTCCACATTGGCAGAAAAAGACTGACACCAATTATTACACCGGAAAGAGGAGGGAACTCATTTGCATAATCGTGACATTGTACATGTACCTCCTCAGGACCATCATCCCCTTCCACGGGGGCAAAGGTCACCCCTGTTCTCTTGGCTGGGGTGGGGGGCTCAAGGTCAAGGGCAGTGTTGTTGGACGGGACAACCTGAAAGAAAAATCTCATCATTTTCTACCGCATACTTATTTCTGCTTGGTTAGGATATCTTCAATGGCGTAGAATGAAAACGGACGTAAGAACATACACAAGAAAAACAGAGATACCAAATGGCAACCACGCACACGTAAATACACGAAAACACATAACACCCACCAGAAAAAAAGGCACAGATTTTCAATGAGAAATCAAGTATACGTGTCAAAAATAACAGTAGTTATTGAAAAAATCATTCATTTGCAGGAAGCAGGGAATCATATTGCCTTCAATAGATATCTGATGCCATTTGGGCAGACAGATCATGCATTGTCGTCAAGAGTATTGCATTGTAGATAAATGTAGTTTGAGAATTTGTGGGAGGGGGGCATGATTGAGGAGAAAATTTTTGTCTACTGTTACAGTAACTACCTCTAATGGAACATCCTCCTCAGGGCCTGATGCAAAAGATACGCCATGTTTCTTTACTTCTGTAGGGGGCTCATCAGGCATGCTAGATGGTGGGGTAGGTGGTCTTGGCTGAGGCACCTCCTGAAAATATAGCAGCTTTTAAAAGCAAGATAGAAGAGAGAAGAAAGAGGGTACAGAAGGCAGGAATGCCTCTCAGAAATAGAATAATAAAAAGCTGTAAAGGTAGAACACTTATTGGTTAAGTGTCAGAAATGGTTGAAAGACATTTCTTGTAAGGCTTTGTGATATATTGTAAGAAAAAGTTATATTAACAAACATTCTAGTCAGGAAAATACAGAATAAAAAGATGAGAGAAAAGAGAGAAAGATACTGAATGAAAAATGAGGAAAGTTCTTTTTAAAACATTGAATCAGATGAAAAAAAAGAAGGAAAGACAGGGAAATTCTCCCAAAATCTTCTCAGAAACAAAAAACCACCTGTTCTTCCACCATATTGGGGAGGGGGGCATTCTAAAGGTAAAGACTTCCTTGCACAGAAGAAATATGATTCATGTATTAGTACATCAAGACATTTGTCTTGGACATTGCACAAATTAGGAGACATTTTTTGTCCAACCTTTTATGTCATTGAAATACCTTCATTTTTCAGTAAATGAGTTAAAAACTTGAAATCTCTACAACTAAAAAGTGCTGAGTGTACATGTATATCCAGCTTCTTTCATGTGACTGTTTCATGTAAATGTATTTTTTGTTTGTTTTCTGTATACCCTGTGTTAATTATATTTATGTTTACTACCCTTTGTCACTTGTGTTCACTTGTGTTAAAATGTACCATAAGTTTTTTTTCAAGTCTGGACCACCATGAAAAACAATCCAACAGAGTTCAATGGGGCTGCCCGGTTCAATAAATATAAAGGCACTCACTGAAGGCTGTGGCAGGGGTTTTCTCTCCACCATGACTTCCCTCATCACCACTACTTGTACTGTGTTCCCGCTGTTCCTCAGGCAATCCACAGCCTCGTGGTGCTCCGCCTCTTCCAGGTGCACATTGTTCACCTGCAGCAGGTGCAATCGGAAATTAGAATGATGGATGCAAATACCAAATTCAAGTACATACTGACATGTGACAACTAATGTATTCTACAGTTAGGACAATATCTCCCAAAACACCTAAATTCTTGAAATTCCTTCAATGATAGTGAAAGCACATTCAATTCTCATCCCACACTACACTGTCTTTTGTAAGGTAGAGTGGACTCTCATATAAACAGAATGTTATTATGTAGCAATACATGCTATCATATGTTGTGCCTTTTACAATTGTTGTGCAATGAAGCCTATTTTCTAACCCTTCAACTAAAGCCCAAATCCCTGAGATTGAAGTTTAGATAAATTGACACTTGGATGGATAAGAAATTTGTGCAAGATAACATGCACAACAACCAGAAAATGTGATAACTCATAAATTTGCAGTTTGTTACAGTGTAAGCAAAATAGAATATAAAATTGTGGTGAATATAGTGAAATAACTGACCCCTAACAACTTGTCTCCGACCTTGACCCCAGCCTTCCCAGCAGGCCCGTCTTCAGACACTCGAGAGATGAAGATACCCTAGACAACAAAAAAACATGAAATTATCCAATAGTAAACAAAGTTTACATCTTAATAGTAATGAGCAGAGATCACTGAGCATCAACTTAAATGGGACATTTTGGGAGCTTTTTTTTGTCTTGTCTAGCAACAAAAGGTACATGACTGTATAAATTGTGGAATTGTACAAATTTTCAGACAGACATGTAGTAGATCTTACCTCATCATCGCCCTTATAAGGAGTGGAGCCCCTCCCTCCGGCGATGCTGACACCCAGGCCCATCCCAGGGGGCCGCTGGATGGTCAGGGTCATCTGGGACAAACAACAACATATACAGTTTAATTAGGAGTTCAATAATTTGCATTGAAAAGTGTTACATATTGAAACATCAGAGAAAACATTGCTTCAGTATGTTTTCTGATTGAACTATATTTTCTGCAGATCTACCATAAGCAATACATTTATCTTTTATTTAAAAAATTCTAGACAAAAATAGAATATGTGTGCATTCGTTAACATCTGTGTCCATAATATCAACATAGTCCATAATATTGCCACCTTGAGAAAAAGTGTGCTCAAAGATATTATTACTGCAACATACCCTAGGTATGTACATTTGAGGTGTGAAGGAGTGCATACCAAAAGTATGTTGCAGTAAAAATATCTTAAAGCACACTGTTTCTCAAGGTGGCGATATTATGGACCCTGGTGATATTATAGACACGGATGTTACATCTCTATTATTTCATGAGAACATATTAGAGAAACACTCTCTGAATATGATTTCTAATCTGTTCAGAAAAATATTTTTCTATATACAATGTACCAGTATCTACTATGAGCACCACATACTTTCATCTTTTATTCAAAGGCTGTCAGACTTTTTGTTAAGCCATGACAGTCTGTCTGTTGGTGGATTTTAGCAATCAACGTTACCCTACTTGATTTGACAGTTATAAGGCTTCTTCCTTTCAGTTCATTGATTAGAATTTCTTACCACTTGTATCATTCATGATTGAAAAATACAGTCAAATATCTATATTAACAAAGATTATACTGTACACATTATATACCTACATAATATTAAGACTTAGTGACCTAGTGACTAAGAAAAATAAATGAAATACAAATATACTGATCATTAAAAATTGAAACGAATTTAACATTCAACCTGCTAAGGTAGCCATTTGACAACACATCTGTATTGGTTATAGGGTTAGGCAACTGGAAAAAGGTTAAGGAACATTTCATGGTCTCTGACGACATGTTTTTGTATACTGGTACACAGTGACCTAATTTTCACTCACAAAATCAAAACAAAAACACCAGCAGTAGAACAACTCGTGTCGTTTTTACCTTGGTGCTGGTGCGTATAGGACAGGGAACGTACGTCCACGACACTTGGAACAGGTACGCCCTTTTCTGGGGTGTGTCCACACGTAGAACATGGCTAACACGCATATTTCTGGTACATTATACTCTCACTGGATAGCACAGGTAACTACAGGTAATTTCCCTTGCATACAATGGAATGTCTTAGGCCAAACCAATAATTCCAACAGAGGTGGCACCATTTAGATTATAATTATTTTAGAAAGTTAAAAATAACTAATGTACATAATAATTTCTGTCAATATTCTTATGATGTCTTCAATTAGCAAGTAACAACTAGTACGTAATCTGTTAATAGGTTACCGAATAGTCTAACTTACATTGAGAAAATGAAATATTTTTGTACACCCCTCTATCAGAGTGGAACTGGCCTAAGTGTGTTGATCACGTTTTCAAGGCTGTGCAATACAGTTAGCCCTTAGGCATGTACAGTAGATCAGTAGCCAAACTATATATAAAAATTATCATTGTTAAGCCCTACTACCTTTCACAAATGTAGGTTACAAAATTTTTCACTATGAATATATAATGAACATGCCACAATTCCAGCTGCAAAATTAAGTAACGAAGAAATTTTAAGTGTTTTGTCACAGTGCGTGAATGATATTTACGCTAAAAATGTGACTAAAATTTATTAGGTTGACATTTCTACAATGGCCCTATGGAGGTCTGTAATCCCACGAGGGAATTTCTCAGAAACAGATCAGACGTATTCAGCTGTCTGTGACATATATTGTAGTGCCTGTTCTTTGTTCTACGTGTCAGCAGGCCAGAGGGCACAGAGTGGGGAGGGCAGGCGAGTGGAACTAGTTCTTCCAGGTCATTCTATTGATGCTGGAAGTTGACAGATATCAGTCAAAACATTTAGAAGTAATCTCTGTATTTGGCAGTTAGAGTCTGAATTGTCTACTGGTATCTGATTCAGGTCCAGTTATAACCAGTTACAACCAGAGCGGAACTAGTTCTACCTGGTCCTTTCTAGTGATGCTGGGGCCTAGGAAAAATAATGTTGTGTTTCCTGTTTCAGTCCTGAAAAAATTAGGGTCGGTAGGTAGGGATTATTTCTTTTTTTTTACTTATTTAGACTTTGGTGATCTCTATATACAACTTATACAATACAGTTTGACAAAGTAAAACATGGATGATAATGTTTAATGTTATAGTTTCAATGTTAATGTTGGAAAACCAATTGTACAATGTTTCATCAGGTGCCAGATTATGTAGCTAGAAAACTGCAGGGGTCTGCACAAAAAAAGCTAGGGTTGGCAGTTTTTTCCAGAGTCGGTGGGAAAACAGGAAAGACAACATTTTTCCCTAGGCCTGAGGAAAGAGTTTGAATTGTCTATGATTACTAGTTACAACCAGTTTCAACCAGAGTGGAACTGGCTCTGCCAGTTCATTGGTAGTGATGATGAAGAAGAGTGATTGATGTCACTTAAAACGTCTTGAACAAATCTCTGTATTTTATCCAGTAGTAGAGCTCAAGTAAGGCTAAAAGAGATGGTTACAAAATAATGTTGAATGTGTGCCAAGGTTTATTGGATGTTGGCACGATAGCACTACAATTATAACCTACAGAGCCATTCATAATGTATACATGTATGCTCGCTCAGGGGACCAAAAATAAAACTTGGTCTATATACTATTAGACAACTACTCACTATAGCATATATGAGCACGTCGGCAGAACGTACTGCGCCTGCGCATAACCCCGTATTTTCGCGTTTTTCGCTGGGTTTTTGGTCAACGTTGCATCAGAATTTTGCCTGTTGCAGAGGATATTCTTTCTGTCATAATATTTGGAAACAACTGTCGAAACGATAACCTTATATGAGCGAATACAACCTTATATGAGACGTTCTGCCGAAATGCTATGTATAATACATTACGGGTTTCACGCAGGTGCAGTACGTTCTGCCGACGTGCTGCATATAGGCAGGGAAAAATTACTGTATCTACATGTAAGTAACCATTGGGCAGGTGATCCTTATGTAACAGTCACTGTGGTTACTTGTACAGGTTTTACACGGGGGGAGGGGGCAAGATTCAATACAGCTTTACATGCAAACAAGAACAAACAGGACAGTCCAGTGTAAAATCATTGTCAATAGGGAAAATTATGGAAGGGGACCCCCAAAAATTGGTCCTTATGTAGAGATGGTCACTCATACTGGTTTGACTGTAGAAAAGATGTATATGTAGTCTTGATAGAGACCTTTAAACATTTGTACTGTCAACCAAGCTTGACACAGAAATGTCACCAAAAAAGGCATATGGGTCTTGTATAGAAATTTCCCTACCCCAATGACAACAAATAAATGAGCTTGGTTAAAACAACTTGGCAGACACCCAAACAAGCATTCCCTTAATCTAAGTGTCATCACATCCTAATCCCACCTTATCCTCTGGATTACAGTTGAATCCCTGTAACATGCTTTCCTTCCCAAATACAACCTTTATACTGTTGATTGTTAGGGCTGAGCTGTCGAAGTCTTAAACACGCTCGTACTTGTGAGAAATATGGTTGGTTGATATTGTAAATATTGTTAAGTTCATTTTACTCGCTTAATATTTAGTTGTCTATATGTTAACTGTGAAATACTCACTTGTCTAGTTGTGTATTTGTTAACTGTGCAATATTTGTTTCTCTGTTTTTAAACTAGCATATAATTCAGCACTACTTATTAGTTGCGCTGCAACATGCTAGCGATTGTACTCTTCGGTCTTCGATCAATCAATAACCATTATTATTATTAAATATGACATTATCCCTCAGACAACATATCTGTGTTCTAGTCAGCCTGAAATATTTTCCATCATGTCATGCAATTTTGGTTGACATAACATCATGTTGCAGTGTGCAATGATCCTAGGGGGGTATGCTCCACTGGAAAAATTGTTAAATCTTAACCCTCTGAAACACTATTTCCCGCTTTTTGAGGGGTAATTTTGCTGGTAGACCAAGCTTAGTTGCTGACATCTCATTCCATATCTTTACATGCCAATTTTTGTCCATCAAAGATGACGTATTGTGCAAAATTTTTGTCTGTCACGATCAGAAAAAGTGACCAAAAGACAGACACTTTGACAAAAGACAGACAGCTTGAACACTGCAAGATATTGATAACAATAACTACCTGTTTGCAGACTGGCACCTCCTTTGGCAAGACGACGCACTCAATTTCGTACAATTGTCCATCATTCCCATGCGTGTATAACAGCAGCATACTTACAAACCACCAGCAAAAATTGAACCTTCTCTTCACTGCCTAATACCGTACGTAACTAAAGAGAACTGGTAGCCAGATGGCTACTTCTGTGAACTAAACATTTAAATGTGCCTGGGAGTTTCTATGCCACAATGTTACGTAGTTCATGCATCTATAATGTCCCCCCAAGGCATGCCCCAGACTCCATTCAAAAAGCATTACTCACACCATTTGACACAAACTCATGACACCTTCTTTGAACCCCAAAAAATTTTACGCTTCAAAAAAAAAAAAACATCCTTGAAGTCTGGTATGATTTTCCTAGGTGGAAAATAAACAAGAGCTCTTATTTTCAAAATTTCTGACTGAATTAACAGATGATTTTGATGTTTCACAGATCAAAGGTTTACGACCAATAAAAACGCACAGGACAAAAACCAGACTGGCATTGCATCTTGGGACATATCATGTGGTGAAGTAGACCACGGACAATGAACTCAGATAACCCCTCTCTCTCAGAAAACTAAAGTCTAAGAAGTTGTATGAATATTGCTTCTTAGTACTTTACTTTAATGTTACAGTAGACAACACATCTCAGTACCTTTCAGTTAACTTATAATTATTTAAAGAAATGGCATTTCTTTAAATAATTATAAGTTAACTTATGGTTTGTTATTCTTTGTAAAGACTCCAAATTTGTCAAACAAAAGGCAGTCAAAAGCATGTTCACTGATAGGCAGCTAATATGACCAGAATGACCAACGCCTAACATTCTATCACCTTCCAAAAAAGGTTTAGTCAAGCTTGAAATTAGACTCTGGGGTGAAAAACACAGTGTATCAAAAGAAGTATAATAGATCCATATATAAACAAAAATTTGTGAGATAGCATAATAATAATATACCCCCAAAATATTCCTTCTAAATCATCACATTGATTGAATCTAATATCAGAAGTGTTGTCACTGAGGCAACTAATTTAGTAATTAAGATTCACATCATTGAGCACTAATTTCACAAATTGTTTCTTTAGTAGATGTCAAGGCCTGGTTCCTCTGTAGATGCCTCCTAGCCTTTGGACTATGACCTAAGCCATCAAATATTTTACACATCCTTAAGTGTATACCTTACTTGTTTGAAGGATTAACTGTCTGGTAACAGTAAGCGGCTACATGACAAGATACAAATCAGCTCATCTGTGTACGATTAAAGCCAAAGGTCAAAGTTAATTTCAGGACAGCTTCCTTGTGAGCTATTGCACCGGAGCTCAATTGGTAGAGTGCTCGCTTTGTAACCGGGAGGTCGTGAGTTCAAACCCTGGCCAGGTCATACCAAAGACTTTAAAAATGGTACACACTTCTTTCTCTGCTTAGCACTCAGCACATAAGAGAAAGAGTGTGGGCAGGTCAAACACACAGCACTACCAGCGGACTAGCCCCCTGCTGTAGTGCATTGCACAATTGTGTGTCCCCCAAGGGCTACGAAATGGAGATGGGCACCACCCTATGCTCGGGCAAGAGTACGGGAGACCTTCTCCTTCTTCCTTGTGACAAATTCTCATTCATCATCTTTCGAAACCAAGATACCATTGTTTGACATTAAGGTCATCAGAGTGATAGTTTAAACTCTTTAATGTCTGTTTAAATGTTTTCAGATGTCAGTTTAAATAAACCAGACCTGACGTCTCTGTTGAACAATTTTTTACAACTCATTAACCCGTTATTGCTGTTCTTTTAACTTAACAGGAGAAGCTTGGAGAATTTGTAAATGTGTAGGCTGTTAAAGTTAAACATCTCAACTGTCAATTTATTATGAACTTGTTTAGATGTAGATATACTTTTTGTGGACCTAATTTTAGGAGTGCCCCTGTTCCCAGAAATAAATTTCGATCCCTGAAATGTATCCGAAGAAAGTTTTCATAAGATATTCTTACCTGTTGTTCTTCCATTTCTGGTTCCTCCCCATCTGCATACTGTAAAAAGAATAACAAACAGTTCCTGAAATGACTAAAATGCAAAGTAACATGTATAAATAACAATACCTACAGTAAGAAAAAGTTGTAAACAATATCTATGACTTGTACATTTTGATTCATCACAATTTTGACTCCAAAACAAGTTGAAAAGCTGATGCAAGAAGTTATTTTTAGAAATGTTTACAAAGTGTGGCATGCATCTTACATTATCCTCTAGTGAAATACTAAAAAAAATCATTGGAACAGAGAAGAAGAAAATTTAGAAGCCCAAACTTAACTGTCAGAAGAAAAGCACAAGACAAAGAAAAATTCAACCTTAAAGTCCGTAAAGTTTAGTCCTAAGTCACTCTGATGACTTCTACTATACAATTTTGTTTAAATTTCAATAAACTTGAAGGTACATATAACTATGCCAAATAACTAAACATCAGATCTATACCTAAGAAAAGCTGTAACTCCTAAATTTTCAAAAGACTATTAAAAGCTGCCATCTACCCATTTTTCTGTCAGTTTTTTGGACATTTTCTGTCAAATTTAAAATAAAGTACATCAATTCGACATTAATTGACTTAAGAAATAAGTGCAGAAGGGTTTGAACTAGTAGCATGTACTTGTAAACTTGTTAAACAAATAAAGGAAAGAAAAGGGTAGGCGGAAAATATTGTACAGTAGTCCCCTTATAAAACACCAGGAGGTACGGCTTTAAGGTAGAGATCAGGAAAGGCATTGGGCCGTTGCACTCACACTATTGAGCACAATTCCTTTCTGCGAGGTTTGACTCTGGTGCCTCTGTAAAATGGCCGCCACAGCGTCTGCTGCAGTTTCCTCATCAAGATTTAGCCTCTTCCCCTTAAGACATGGAAATAAACAACTTCAGAACACAATGCAGGATTTGGTAGTACCAAAAGTGCACCCTCAGGGCTCGAAATTAACATTGTCCCAGTGTCAAATGACACTAAATTTTCAGCTTGGGACAATTCAAATTACGTTTCGGGACAATTTTGGGGCAATTGGAAAATTCGACCAATCTTTCTGGATCTCTGATCAATCGTTCTGGAAAATTCGACCAAAATTTGACCAATCAGGGATTCCAAATATCAGGGATGGTGCCATGCCCATGATATTATCATGTATTTCCCTACATTTACTAATAAAGTGGACTTCAAGTTGTACAAATTCAGTTGTTGTTTTCTTATTTTTGTCATCAACTCATTTCCTGAAAAGCAGGCTGGGACAGTCCATCTTCAGTTCGGGACAATTGAAATCTATGTTCGGGACAATTCTGGGACAATAGTGAAAAAAGTTAATTTCGAGGCCTGACCCTTAAAGGGGCATTATGTAACATTTTTGCACCAAAAATTGAAATAATTTTGACTGAAAAAATCTTGCAAGTTACTTCCACTTTTGAACATATTTGTGTGATTATATCACATTTCTGACATTTACGATTGGCAAAGCAAGGCACTCAGTTTGTGGTGTCACCACAAACTACCAGAATGTAAACAAACATGGCTGACAGCTTTGTTTCAAACTTTTAAACACACTTATAAGTGGAGTAGGGTTGATTCAACATATTTTGTAAAGAAATTTGACTTTCTGTATCATCCTAATGTTACATAATGCAGCCTTAAAATTAATTTCACAACAATGAGGCAATTTTGTTTAAATTCCTATTAAAGTAACAATGCCAAGTAAACATTAGCTCTAAAACTGAAGAAAACCTTAATGATATAAACATCTTTCAGAAATAACATACACTAATTTGTGCCTAATATTTCAATCAATTTTGTTTGCTTGAATGATAAACTTTTCCATGTCACGTGACTTCTTGCGGATCAAGTCATGTTACAGAAAATTCAGAACAATATCGTAGGTAACTCAGGAACAAAAGAAAAGTTACCTGGAAGAAAATTAAAAACAGAAAAGTAGAGGGTGGACAACAAAAGCTAAGAGTGCTGGAGGAGTCATCTCAAAACACCTGAATTTCCTCAAAACCATATTTGTTTGTTTATGTACTTTGTGTACTACAAATATCCACTCCATACTACTGCTACCTTCAGAGATTTTCCCCCAAACACCCCCAATTTTTTTTCTTTCATACAAGATATTTTGAAATATTATAACTCCTCCAACATATTATAGATAATAGGAGAAAAAAGACACATGCCACTGTCCTACAGTTTAATACTAGATTTAATTACATCATTTGTAATCTATAGTATGAATACTCTGCTGCTGGTTGACATAACACTGTCAGAAATGACTGTGTAAAATTACTTTATATCACTTGATGTATCCTGGTTTATAACTGTCAATAAACCAGCCAATATCTTCGTACAGTCAAAACTGCACAAGAAGACAAACAAGACTGGCAATGAAAACATACATTGCCATGGCGACGGTGGTTGCTGTTAGGGTTATTGTTTGCATGGCACTGCCATCATTTCATGATTTTTTTCTAGACAGATACAGTACACTCCTCCCCTGAGTTCATAGTGAACGAGCCCCGGGGTCACAGAAAGTATGACCATCTGGGGCAGGCAGGTCTTCAGGGTTCCAGGAATGCGGGCATAGATGTGGGTCAGAGAAATGCGCATGCCTGTGGACATTCCGCTTGCCTGTGGACAAAAATGCCTGTACAATTCCTAGAATTCTTATTTTATCTATTTAGAAATAGTAGCAATGTCGCCTGTATGTAGAGCAGAATTAGGTAGATGCTTGGTCCAAATGGGCACAACCTCACACTCCCTTCAAATGGATGCTCTCCTCTTACAGCAAAGCCTTCCAACAAATACCCGTAGACTAACTTTACTGCAACGTGTTAAACTTAAAGACATACCGGTATTAGATCACAATGGATACTCCTCTTTGTGGCATTCCGAATCAACATTGTGACCCTGAACATGTTGGGGGAAATGCTGAGAAAGACTCTGACTTACAGATATACACATGTCTTCTTCAGTTTACAAGTCTTTACAAGAGAGAAGTCAAACCCTTCAGACATAGTTTTAGACATAGCTATAATTTTAGACAAATACCTTTCATTTGTAGATTTTAGTTATTTTATATACTGCTCTTCTTTTATGCTTGTAACTGGCAATTAGCCTCCGGGGCCGGGGCATGAACAGGAATGTGAATCAGCATGTGTCTGCTCAGTTGTGAATCTGTTCAATTTCCACAATGTCGCAAGGGTTTCCTGGAATTTCACTTCGTAGGAAAGTGGTCCAGAATGTAGGACATACACTTGAAAGGCATGTGGGGAATCCTGGAATGTGGACCAGAATGTCAGAATGTAGGACATTTGAAAGGCATGTGGAGAATCCTGGAATGTGGACCAGCATGTCAGAATGTAGGACATACACTTGAAAGGCATGTGGGAAAGGAATGTGGGTATGATTGTAGGTATGTGAGGAAAGCAGACTGATTGTCGGCTGGAAAGAGAGATCACTTTGGCTTGGTTTGAGGCAGTCATCACAGGGAGGTACAGATTTGCGGCCTGAGTTCAGAGATTATAAGCCTGGTAACCAGTCTCAGCGGGTCAGCTTAGAGGTGTTTTCCGATCCCATCAGGGAAACACGGCGGTCTGTTTCACCACTACAAGGGCTAGTTTTCAGTTCTGTGTGGTTGTCCAAATGGGGAACTTCCACGTGCTTCTTACGGCCTGGCAATCCTTAGAAGGTAATACAACATCCAATGTATTTATGAATAAAAAGAGCCCTTTAGGACACCTGTGTCGATCGTAAAAAGTAAAAATCTTCCTCTGTTGTTGGAACTGTGATAGATTTGTGTGATTTTAATTTTAGGTGAAACGTAAGTCTGTTATAAAGGACTATTAAATGTACAGGAAATAATCTGCCATTGAGAATGATTACCCGGGGAATAATTGTCCTATAACAAAATTGATCTAGTCGAAGGATTTGGTTATGCTTACCTAACGTTAACAACCTATCAAGTTGAACGTCAATATCTGATGTCCACAAGAAATATTATATTAAACTACATATGAGACCTCACCTATCGAAAATGTACACAACCAATTCTGTAAAAATGTTCTTGGTGTATTTAGAAATAGTAAGCAATGTCGCCTGTAGAGCAGAATTAGGTAGACTTCCTTTAGATACAGATATTTGTATATAGATATACTAGTAGTTAAATTCTGGTTATGCTTGGTCCAAATGGACACAACCTCACTCTCCCTTCAAACGGATGCTCTCTCTTACAGCAAAGCCTACAAATACCCGTAGACAAACTTTATTGCAACGTGTTAAAGACATACCGTTATTAGATCATAATGGATACTCCTCTTTGTGGCATTCTGATAACTCACATTGTGACCCTGAACATGTTGGGGAAATGCTGAGAAGGAGACTTACAGATATAACGTTACACGTGTCTTCTACAGTTATAAAAGAGAAGTCAAACCCTTCAGACATAGTTTTAGACTTAGACGTAGCTATAATTTTAGACAACTACCTTTCATTATGTGGATTTTAGTTATTTTATATACTGTTCTTCAATGTTCTTTTATGTTTGTAACTGGCAATTAACCTCCGGGCATGAATTTGCAATAAACTTCTCAATTATTATAGAGAGAAAGATATAGTACCTGTTCAAATGCAGCAGAGTTGAAGACTGTCGATGATACGTAGGGGAAGATGTTCTACACTAATTCAGAAAACTCACTTACTGCTTACATCATTAACATCATGGAAGCTATAGCTATATGAGCTAGATAATGTTGCATGGGAGTGGACAGGGATGTAAATCAGCATTTGTCTGCTCAGTTGTGAATCTGTACAATTTCCACAATGTCCCAAGGGTTTCCTGGAAATTCACTACATAGGAATGTGGGCATAGATGTGTGTCAGCAAAATCCCAGACATGCCTGTAGACATTCCATTCCTGTGGAAAAAAAATGCCTGTGCAATTCCTAGAATTCTTGCAAACTGCACACAATACTGTACCATTAGGCTCCCCCCTGAGGCGTCGCCAAAAAAATCTATGTAGACACTGGTGGTCACTATATAGACACAAGCCAAAGGGAAAAATGATCTAAGGAACCACTAAAAATGGTCACATTGGTCAGGTCACACCAATTTAATTTCTTGGTTAACGGATTCGCCCGCTTCATTTTTTTCTGATTGGCAAATAAAAATAAAAATTCAGAATCAACTGCAAAATGCTCATATTTTGCCCTGAACAGTTGAAAACAGTCCTTTTCTTCCTAGTTGTTACAGGAATTCCATCTTTAAATGCAGTGGTATCATTAAAAGTTCAAAATTCATTGTTTAAATTTTGAACCAGCCTGGTGTGTTGACTTCATGGCTCCTGTCGTACCATTTTGGGCCATAATAGGATGGCTAGGCCTGTTTTTATTTTTTTTTATTTTTTCGCCCGACCGCTCCATTATTTTTCTAGAAAAATCCGTTAACCAAGAAATCAAATTGGTGTGGCCTTATGTAGAGGTGGTCACTTGTACAGATTTGACTGCAATGGGTGAAAAGTTACGGTGTACTTTTAGAAAGAGGGTTCCTTCTTAAGGGTTCCGTGTTGTGACATGTACCTTAAGATGGTGAGGAGTGTCTCTCCGCTGAAGTTTGCTGTCGCTTTTCTCCACGTCTTCCGTATCGCTGGAGAACGTCACCTGTCTCTCACGGTCCTGAAGACAAGAAACATCCATGAAGGAAAGGAAAGTGATCTCGATCCAGTTTTAGCTCACTGAAGAAACACTAGAGAAACGACTAAACGGGACCTACACCAAAATGCTTAGAATTGTCAAAAATGTACACTGGTACCAAAAGATACCAAATTGTGTACTGTACAAAAACCTACCCACAGTGAGCGAAACAATAAGGAAACGAAGGTTGAAGTTCATCGGACACTGCTACAGAAGTGAGGATGAAATCATAAACCAGTTATTACTGTGGGAGCCCTCACATGGAAAAAGAAGTCGTGGTCGTCCAGCAAGAAACTACATAAATCAATTAATAGACGACCTGATGGTAGTAATGAAGGATAGGAAGAGATGGAGAGCTATCATTGGCACCGAGGGAAGCTCGACCTAGTGAGAGTGAGTGAGTGAGTGAGAAGAGCTAATCTTCCACTGGTCGTAACAGAGAAGACAGACGCTATGTACAGTATTTACAGGTTCATTGTACCAGGGAAATTCTCCTAGCTCTTTCTTTTACAAGCACAATGAACAGTGGACCACGGCTTAATGTCCAGCATGCATGTCGGGGAAGCGGATTCGAACTCCAAACCCCTTAGTCCAGAGGCAGGGTCGCTTACCACTGGACATCTGGAAAGTTTGACATCCAAGAAGAACATTACATAAGAAGACCCCGTAACACTAAAAAAAATGAATCATTTTGAGCATCAAACCATTTCAGAAATAATCTATCCAGATTTGAGGTAATTTTTTAAAATCATTTCTGAGAAAATCTATCAATTATTTTGGAGCGTTCACACTGCAAAAAATGAATCGGTTTGATGACTTCTGAAACAAGTCAGTACATACACACCATAGCAAATGATGGTAATGTCAAACATCTTTGCATGTAGAAACGTTGTTTATATACAAAGCCCTGCCACCTACCATAGCCTGCCTTCAGAGATATATTAAAGCGTGACCGAGGAATCTGTGATCCACCGTGCTGTCATGGTTGAGAGAGTTTGTAAAGTCCCAGGGTCATTTTACGGAAACTTATCCCTGTTTTCGACATCCCGTTTTCAGACTCGGTCAAGCAGGTTCAACCTTTTCTTCCTGCCTATCCCTTCATGTTAGAAACTCTCAAATCTCAATAATCTGTCTTTTTTTAATCATATATAATACAGGGCTCGAAATCATTTTTTCTGCCTGCCTGCATCAGTTCTGGTAACATTGAAAACTATCTGCACCAGACAAATTTTACCTGCACACATACTCAGCATTTAGAAAGTATGGATCATACTAAAACTGTTCAGAAACCATTTCCATTATTTTTTTTATACTTCATAGATGGTGACAATTATTTGCAGCTAATAAAATCCATATTCACCTACATGTTAATATATAAATCCAGCACACGGACCAGCAAAAACAAGTTACATTGGCCAGGTGGTCCTTATGTAGATGCGGTCACTTGCACAGGTTTGACAAGGATAGGACTACCATGCTGTCATAAAAAGTCTTTTATTGTGTGTGTAAATATGAAATGTAATTCACGTACTTCATCGTCTGTTTCTTCCGCCTCCTCATCATTCTCTTCTTGCGTTCTCTCGGGAAGTAGTTCTTCTTCTTCTTCTTCTTCTCTTGGTCTTTCCTGCGCGAGTTCCACATGCTGCTGCTGTTCTGCTACAGCGTGCTGATTGGTCACCATGAGTGGGGTGTGTTCATCATCCTCCTGTAGGGGGAAACATGTTGAAAAAAATTTTATTTCCGACTTTCAAAATTCAACAAACCGATATGTAATAATAGTTTACCAGTTTGAAAAAATTATTTACATATTAAGATATTACCGAAGATTACATACATACATAAACAACTATTTTGAGATGTTAACATTGTGATGAAAATTGAGAACCCCTTTATGACACAGTGGATCATTCCGGGTCCCAGTGCCCAAAGGTCATGACCCTGGTAAGCCCTGATGACATACATGTTGTCACTGTTTGCCAGCTGGCACTGTTGGAGTGCCAAATGTAAACACACTAGACAGGAAGTGCTTCCGTTTTTCCAACAAGCTTCGCTGGCCCAAAACTGAACCCTTTCCTCTTGAATGACAAAATTTCTGTTTCAAACACAATCTCAGGATTTTAGAATCACATATATAAATAAATGTAACATTATGTAAAGGGTACAAAACACTATTCAATAGTTCTTTTCTACTGTTAAACAGATGTTTCATAGCTGCAGGATAGGACATAACCATTGAAATCTGGGTATTGGCAAAAGATTGTAATTCTTTCCAGCAAAGTTGCATTGCAAGTCCAAAGGTTAGAATTGTAGTCCTTAGTCATTGATTAATAATATCACCTAATTGTTGTTTCCCAACCACACAACTCCTATGAAGTATATATTATAAGTTAAAACTGTAATTTCCAACACAAGAAATTGGACTTACCCAAATTTTCAAGTATATTTCAACTATACAACTTCAATCTTTGTAAAGGAATAAGCAATTCACTTCTGTGACATCACGTTATGCAGATACAGAAGCGGTGGATTGCTCATTCCTTGACAAAGACTGGAGTTGTACAGTCGAAAAATTTGGGTAAGTCCAATTTCTTGTGTAATAGAAATTGCAATTCAAACATGCTTCATAATGGCTTCTACCAACACAGATGAACTTTTAAGATAACCCAACCCATGTTTTCTTTCAAAACAGATTTTGTGCCTTTGTGCCAGAACTAGCCAGCTTGAGAGGAAGTTGAGGTAGTGCTTTTGTATCTGTTCTTTAACATGGATCAACTCCTCTGACCTCTTTCATTACTAACTAAACTATCCCTAGGGGGGGTGGGACTAATGGAAGGGGAAGTCGCCCCCCTAAGGACCAAAGGTTGACACTGAGGAAGTTACAAACTCATGCCCACATTTTTCACATAGTTTTGGAGGGTGTAAAGGAATGGACCATTTGGTTTCCTGGGGGTGTGCAGAGCAGCCAGACTTTTTAAATGATGAATATAAATCTAATCTTAAAATCATAACATAGTACTTCATACAAAAACATCAGAGAATCCCTTTAACAAAAGAATGTCTGTCAACAACTTTTTGTCTGGCTTTGCTGCACCCCTGGAAACCAAATGGTCCATTCTGATTTTTTTTGGTTTGATATATTTTATTACATAGTTTTCATACATAATATATACAGATTATTCATATACAGTATACACAAGTTGGTATGTATTGGTCCCCTAGTAGATAAACTGTCCCTTACACAACTTTCTGTATCAAAATACTGTATTATAAACATATAAGATACACACGTACATGTACAATACATACAAATTGAATACAACTGTCGAAAGACACAACACTTTTTGTCCATCAGCCTGAACTCCCCTCTTGTGGTAATGAACTCTTCCAGAAACACTGCACTGAGTGAATTACAAACTAGGACCAGAGTGTTGGTTCTGACTGAATCCTAATGCAAACAATCTTAACTGATCTTTTGGTTAGACTTTGGACACAAAAATATCTTCCTCCTCGTTTCAAAATTCTTCTACTTCTTAAAACAAATAACCAAAATTTTTCATGCGACAAAACTCTTACACTTTTACATAACTTTAACACAAAACAATTTACAAAGTACAAAATATCTGAACAAAAAAACATAGTTACCTTTGTTGATAACTGACTGAAAGACATCGTAACTAAAGCTAAAACTGTACAACGAAAAAACTTGTGTGGTTTCTCTGGTTTAGGAACTCCAAACTAGGACAGTGGACCAGGTGTTCATGTTGTATATAGCTTATCAGTATTGATCGTTAAGTGTGGACAAATCATTATTGCTGGCAAAAGTAGGTCATTATTGATGAAACTCTTGTACAGTGAACTAAAACACGATTTACACATGGATAAAAAAACTGATGGTATACAAACTGCGTACGCACAAAAGGATACCAAAACTGCATACGTCAAATTTTTCCTGTGCGTCAATTGGTCAGCTTTGACATACGTAAAAAATGTATATTCGGATCATATACCAGCCCTCTGGGTAACATATGATCTGAACATACATTCTTGGAGTACATCAAAGCAGGCCGATTTACACAAAGAAAAAGTCGTGTATGCAGTTTTCGTACGCTCATGCTTATACGCCGTTTTCATACCGTCAGGTTTTTGCTCCCGCATCAATTTGGTCTAACTTGCAAGTGTGAAAATTATTAATCTATCACCTAAGCAACAATGACTTTTTGGGGTCATTTTCAGCTGAGTTCGAATATTGAAGGTCGTAATGGGTGAAGTGGGAGTTATTGGCTATTGGCTGGGGTTATAACTAATCAATGAAGAGGTCAATATTGGCTCTAGTAAGTGTATAACATGTTTCTGACCAATTTATAAGTCTTGTACAATGATTGTTTTTTTCAGCAAAATCAATTTTTGTTTCAGAAATATTATGAAAATTTTGATACTGCTTCCATGTGATAATCAACAAGTTTTATAAAACAGGCCCTAGTATATTCTGGACAAACTCCTAATTCCAGAGAATCTGTATAGTTTCAAAATGGATAATAACCAAATGAATTAATATTTGTAAGTATGAAACATAAAAGGATATTGAATATGTACATGTAAGTTGCAATTAGACATCTCCTTGAATAAAGCCAATTCTACAGAATTCTGGAGATTTCTGCACAGCTTTTATTTGCATTTTGCATGACTTTTGATCACGTTTTTCACGAGTGTAGATGGGAACAAGTTATTTGAGATCTATACTGCAAAATGAGTCTGAGCTCTTGTGGACCAGGCCAGACAGTGAGAGATGTAACAAAGGTTATATATGTTAACTTATCTATGACTAAAATATATACTATAGCGTGACAGTTTGAACAGTTTTAACCTCGTTTTCCTCCTCGGACTCTGCGGTCATGACATGTCCGTCCTCGTCGCTGTGCTTGTTCTGCTGCTGCTTGGCGAGGTACTTCGGGTGTCGTGTCTTCAGTTCCCGCGGATGTGGCGTGTTGTGGCGTACAAACGTGGTCTGAAAGAGGGCGGGAAACAAATGTTTTAAAATCGAAAATCAGAAATAGGAGTCGATAAATGATAGACATTCGGGTAATTAGATACACCATTAAACAGTTACTCCAGCAACTGGATATGATTTTGTAAATTTAGCATCCACTATCTTTCGTCAGTGCCAGTGTTCCAAAATCATATCCAGTTGCTTGATTAACTGTTTTGGGGGTATGAGCTTAGTTCCAACAAATTTTTGGTCAATCTCGTCAGGCCTTCGTCAGGCGTGTGATGAACTTGTGGACTCTCAAGAAGTCGGAAACGTGATGATGTCAGGAGCGAATTAAAAGTGGTATCAAGACGATTCACTCCTGATGTCGTCACGCTTTCAACTTCCGGATAGTCAGCGAGTGCATCATACATCGGTTCACAAACTAACTGTTGGAACTAACTTTACAACTATGGATTCTACCAATACAGATGAGCTTTCATTCAGAAATAGTAGTGTTAGGCAAAAAGGAGGACGCAAAGAGAAACACGTCCACATTGATAAATAACTTCTACTTGACTGACTTTTAACTAAAGCTTTAAAACGGGATCCGCTGTTCAAACGACAGCCATTCCTATCCGTTAAACACGATAGTTCTACAACAGTGGTAAGTTCGTAGAACAGTAACGTACAGAGGATGTTGTTCATACTAAGTAATCAAATCAACAAGATGATACAACAAAATTGTGTAATGTTGTGTGAGTGACAATGCTAGCAATCTTTTCAGGGGTGGAATAAACAAGGTTGGTACACACAAAAAGGTAGTAAAAAGAGGTAAAACAAGGGAAGACGGACTCACAGACGAACAGTAGCATTTTCTGTTACAGAACAGAAGAGAGCATACGTACGTTTGGGAGGTCTGAGGCAGGGTTTGTAAAACCTACCGTCCGCTGGAGAAGAGAGGGAGAGAGGCACAAACAAAAGGCGTTGGAGTTGGAAGTAATGAAACTGCCAGTGGAAAGGGATTTAGCAACATGACAGATGGAAGAGTTTTGTTGCTGTTGAAGTATCTTAGAAAGGTACAAACAAAAGGCATTGGAGTAACAGTTGGAAGTACTGAAGCAGCCATAGGGAAAGGCACTGGAGTTGGAAGTAATGAGAGTGCCATAGGAAAGGGAGAAAGGGATTTAGCAACATGACAGATGAAAGAGTTTTGTTGCTGTTGAAGTATCTTAGAAAGGTATAAACAAAAGGCACTGGAGTTGGAGGGTACTGAAAGTGCTATAGGAAAACAAAAGCCACTGGAGTTGGAAGTAATGAGAGTGCCATAGGAAAGGGAGAAAGGGCTTCAGCAAAATGACAGATGAAAGAGTTTTGTTGCTGTTTAAGTAACTTAGAAAGGTACAAACAAAAAGCATAGGCACTGAGAATTCTGTAGAAGAAGGAAAAAAGCTGTGGCTTTCGCAAAAGCACAGATGCAACAGTTGTGTTCTTGCCAAAAATTCTTGTGTGATCATGGTGTTCATACTGTACGCATGTCGAAAGGCTACTTCATACACCATACTTTTTCAAAGCATACATGTATTCTTTTAAATTCTTACCAATTCTAATGATAAAAAGACCATTTCCTGTACAATCATAATCAAACAAACTGAAGTCACGAAATCGCTCACCGGTTTGTCTTCCTCATTTTCTTCCGGCGCGTCGAACAGCACCTTGGACGTGCGGTCCGGTACCGGCTCTGTCCACGCTTCATCCATACTTCTGCCGTCTGGGAACAGGTTCTCTGTGGGCGCGAAAAACACATTCAAACAACGGATGAAGAAAAATAACATCTCGTCACCAGCCTGTCCACCCCTGCAGGTAAATAGACTCTTCCAGTGTGTAATGACATCATTTGTGGGATGATTGACACCTGTGTTGGACAAATGACTCAACAGGACACAACTTTGAACAGTTGCCATGGATACAGTTACCATAGCAACAAGTTACCATAGGAACTTCTCAACAACAGTAACATGTAGTTAGACACAAATAATGAGGAAATTATAAATGAATGTCACCACAAAAACATGCTGACAAGACATAAATGTATGATTACTAAATATAATGCACAATGGGTGTGTAATAAACAAAGCTCAATGCACAATCATGGATCATATTACCATTTGAAAAATGACAGTTACGTGGAACAAATAGGCAAGGCGTACATTTACTGATAGCAAACAAGTTTTCACAAATTGTGAACACTGACAGCCAAAGCTTTACATGCATTGGCAAATGTACTGTATACATGATAGCATTAATATACATAATTGAAAACAATTACAATCATCATTAGAAGGTATGTTTACACACATTGCTTAAAGCATGTATTATTTCAACAAGCACGGCTGACATTAATTTCCTCATGCACATGCAGATGAAGTATTATCTATGATCATGCAAGATGAGTTGGTGAAATTATATCAGATATGAGTCATATGACAATTATTTTTTCAGGCATGTTGACGTGCAAAGTGATGTTTTGGAGATGTTAGTAGTGAAGACTACATTTTGATATCCCCTGTTGGGGAGGGAGGGATAGGAGGAAGGTAGCAGATTATTGGCACATAGTACATAACATGGGAGAATGTGATGCTACCGAACGATGAGCTACTTTCTGTACAGGGTGTGAGGGGAGCCTACAATGTAGATGATGACTTTTCTAGTCTACTTTGGTGGACTGGGGGCTTCCAAACAGTGTTTCCAGCATTGCACCCACAGAACGATACAAAATCAACGTTTGAAAGTTTCAGACTAGAAGTGTAACAAAATTTTTAGGTCAGGAAGAATAACTGGAGGGAAGTCACCACAAAGTGCTCACTGCAAAAAGTTATATTTTACTTTTTGTCAATAAAGAAATATACCAATTATAATATAAACAGTGCGTTGGTTAGCATTAAAGGGGCATTACGTAATATTTTTGCACCAAAAACTGAAATATTCTATTTCAAAAACATTTATGCGCCACCACTAACATAGCTCATACTGATACCCACAGAAAATATACTTTTTGTATCATCCTAATATTACATACTGGTAATTCAGCTTTAATAGAAAAGACACCAAACCTTAAATTCTTTTTCCTGCAAGAAAATCACTCACACAAAAAAAGAAGAAAAAAATCACTCAAGAAAAGTGATGACTACAGAAACCAACAAGAGCTTGATAGTACCCTCAGAAGGGTGCAATGCTGGAAGACGGTACCCAGGTCGGTATATCTAAAGACTGAAGGGGTTCTACCTTCCTCCTGTAGATAACCTCCATACTGTATGTGTGCATGAGGATCCTCCGACCACCCCATATCTTGGAACATTATCATGCCTGCAACGATACGCGGTTAGAGCCATGCAAGGTACATATACAGTCAAACCTGCCTCAAGAACACCACTTAAGGGAGCAAAAAGTTCAAACTTTTTTTCCAACACAAAGAAGTGTTCTCACAGAGAACTTCCGACCAAGTCACTCTGGTCTTCTTCATAGACTGACCCAGTGAGACTTGTCATGTGGCTTCTATGAAGTGTGTTGTCAACACTGGGTCAAAGGCATCTGGTAAACTTCAGAGAAGCCACGTGACAAGTCTCACTGGGTCAGTCTATTGAAGAAGACTAGAGTGACTGGTCGAAAGCTCTAGGTGAGAACAATCTTTGAGAACAAAAGTTTGAACTTTATTAAACATGTAACTGCCAACACAGATGAACTTTCATGACAGTACGCATCAGAGTTATAACACTGGGATATTGTTATTATGAATGTAGAGTGGCTGATTTGTTATAATGTGATAGGACAGTATGAAATCCCCCCCAAAAATATTGAAACAACATGTCACTTGAAGATCCTGCAAATAAATAAACAAGAGATATCTGTAGTGTAATATAGTCTGAATCATCTAATTTTTAGGTGAACTTTGTATATAAAATGCTAGAATTCCCCTCCCCTTTATTTTGTTATTGGAAGTTGGTGTACTTAAATGAAAAAAATACATGTGGTATATGTATATAAATGTGTGTGTACAATAAGACAGCTACATTTGTACATTATGATAATAAACTACATTGTTGTGTTGTAAATGGACTTGAATGGATAAACACAAAGAGAGAATAAGAAAAGCTACATAAAAATGGAAAAGTGGAATTGACACAAAGCATATAGACAAGCAAAAGAACAAGCATAGACAGACACTGAATATGAAATGGATTGTGCACTACAAATGTATATACTGGTATTTCTTATACCTTATATGCCAGCACCAGGGGTCAGTATAATTATATACAGCCACACTTTAAAACAAGGAAACAACAGTAACTTACCTTTCTACAGGGCCAAGTATACCCGACTCATGGGTGTCAAATACAGAATTCCTTCAAATTTTTTTCTAAAAAAACATTTTTGGCCAGGGGAACTTCTTTTCATCAGGATTTGATTATTTCTGCACAATTGACACTCAATCAAAAAATTTTGCCAACTGAAAAATTGCACTGGATGCTTTTAACAAATTTTATGGGAGATCCCTTATGGACTACATGTAGAAAAAGCAGTCAGGAAACTGAGTCAGGTATGCTTTAAAACCCTTGTGTGAGTCCCTCGGGTTAGTGGTTACTGGTGAGACCACATACATAGCCACACTGCTTCCCCATTCCAAACACAAGAATTTTTCACTGTCCAAAGCTGTTAAATCTTGCTTCATAATGATTTCATGTATCAGCTCTAGAGTATCTTTTGGGGAAGCCGCGTCGCCCGTGTAACGTACCTGACTTGTAGCCGGTGTCGTCAGTGTGGCTGGACCAGCGCAGTTTCCGTATTCGCTCCTCGATTGGCAGATTATCTACACACAACACACGTGCACACTCACACTCAGAGGAAGGTCACAAAAACACAAGGGGGAGGGGGGTACAGGTTCCTTGTGGTAGCAGAACACAGTTTTCGCCCTATGGGGATTTCTATAGTTAAGGACCCCAAGATGACTCACTTCGACGCAGTAAAAATTATAGCAGGGTGCACTTCACAAATACGAAAATCGAATATGTTTGAGAAGAAGGTACAAACTACAAAATATCTAGAAACCAAAAATCCTGTCGGCGTATCTGCTCGTAACGTACACTTTGAAATCACCCCCTACGGACGTGACCTGAACTGCAACCGACTCAACC